CCGTCGCGGACGGGGGAGGGGGGCCCAGCCCCCGCCGTACCGGGAGGGGAGGGCTCCGGTGAGAGTCGGTAGGTGTCGTGTCCCCCCCTCATCTCCCCCGGTGGAGGGGTTTGGGCCCGCAGTTCGCGGTTTCCTTGTGTGAAATAGCCCCCCCACAACGGGAAAAGGGCGCAGGGCGGGGGCTTTGGCACCCCCCCTCTCCAAAAAAAAAGAACCCCCGTTCCTGAGGGTTGTCACCCGCCCTTCGGAATGTCCCTTGGGTGTTGTCCCCTCGTCGTCCCCCCCGTTATCCCGCGGGGGAGCACCGAGCACGGCGAGAGAGGATTTACCGGTGTGGGGGGGGGTTGTTCGTGGAAGGAAGGGCTTTTGTTCCTTTGTGCCCGGCACCGGGATCGTCCCCTCATCCCCCCCCAGCCCCGGGAGCGGTGAAACGGGGCTACGGGAGAGGGGCCGGTGGTTAAAAATCAGCTGCCAGAATTCCTTAAATACGAGTTTTTCCTACCAAAAGAAGATAATCGGAGCGGTGACACAGATAAAACCGAATAAAAACGTGGGGTTTTTAACATCTAGAGCCACTTGTCCGTGGTGGGGGGGTCGTTCCTGGAGGGGCGCAGGTGTGTGAGGACACCCGCGGGGAGCAGCAGCCCCCGGGGCGCTGCTTTGGGCACGTTTCTAACGCTAAAAATACGGGTTTTTGTAGCGTTTGGCTCTGGGGAGAGCGGGCCAGGCACGGCTCCTTCCTACGGCAGCGCTGGAGACGCTCCCCCAGAAATCACAGTGAGGGCACGGTGAAGTCTGATTATTGATTTGGTCAATTTGAGTGAAGCTTAAAATATCGACCGTTTGCAAGACCGTGCTCTATCGCCTGGTGCGGTGGGGGCTGGGCTCCCTCCCCAGCCACTCCGAGTCCCACTTGTGCCAGTAAGGCTGGGTCTGTACCCAGTGGAACAGAAAGTTCTGTTCTTCTTGTTTCCCTCAAAATATACTGCATCAATTTTGATCTAATTGGGTTGTCGTTTATTTAGGGAGCTGGGAGTGCAGTATTTTTAAAGGCTATTGAACAGCAGACTCCTGGAATTGTTACGGGAAAAGTCTTTTTGTTAAAATTGATTTTTTTTTTTCCCCCCCTCTCTTCTATGTGCACACTAATCAAGTCTATAGATATGAAGAGATGTTCCTGTACTTACTTTTTGTTTTTAACATTGATAGCTTCAGGTGAACCACTTTCTGCTTTGTTTTCCACACAATATCATTTTATTTGAGTGAAAAGCCAACGTTTTGTTCTGATAAATAAATTGAAATAGGGCGTGTGCTCAAAACTCAGATTCAGTGCTCCAGTTGTAGCGCAGGAGAGGAACCTCATTTTGAATAAATCGGCAGCAGTTCCGTGCTGAAATGGTTGACTCTTCTGTGCTTCAGTTCCAAATGGGCATGGAGGGGCTGGGTGTTTTTATTAACGTGTAATAGCACAGGACAAGGAGTGACAGGCAGCTTGAAGCCTCATCACAGCTAACGATTCCTGAAGATACTCTGAGTTTCAGAAGCAGATGCAGAGGAGCCAGTGGCAGGGAAGAGCGAGGTTATTTGTCTGTGGGGCTGCCTGGTGCCGGGGGGCAGTTTAATAAAATCCCTGACAGGCTCAGTCCCCGGAGCCGGTGCTGTATGGACAGCAGAGGGATTTTCCCATTTAAAATCCCAGCCCCCTTTCCTTCCTCCTTCCCCCAGCGCTAGCTTTGTGGTGCATTGTAGGGAAGGGCAGAACCCTGGGATGCTTTTTTCTCTCCTGCCCCCTCGATAATTGAATTATGAGTTTGGGAGCTTGATGGAAAAATCCAAGTGTTTTAATTAGAGAAGAGCATTTATTGTATTGAAGTGATGCTATAGCTGTTGAGTTTTCAACTTAAGGGTGGGGGAAATGCTGAATTTGTGACAGCTATTTTAGAGTAATCTGTAGAGAGTTGCAGAATGTGTGAGATCATCTCTCGTCCGAGGTAGGACTCCAGTAATAGTCTCTGCTGCTTCGGTTCGGAGCTGGCATTTGTTGAGTTCACCAGTGATTTGTGCTTGTTTGTTTTAAAGGCCAAGCTTTTACTTAAAGAAATGACTCCTTAAGACTGTAGGTAACTTTATCATCATTTAGGAGCTGGCTTCTTCAATATGTACACTTTTGGGATTTTTTTTTTTATTGTTGTTGCTGTTTTTTTCAAAAGAAATAGAAAAGTGGAAAAAACCATGTTGGGTCTGGTGGTTTTCTGAGGATCCAAGGGGCACAGCTGACTCAACTAACGAGAAATTGCTTCATTCCACCTGGGTCTAGTTAAAGCTTGACATTTTTCTTCAGGAGAACCTGCAGTAGTTTTTGGGAAGTCGCTCTGGTGGGACCTCCACCACTTCCACATCCTTGGGCTGGGTGGAGAAAAGCAGAGGTGGCTTGTCCCTGTGAGTGTCCCTCCAAGGGGACAGAGGGCAGTTAAACGCTGGCTGGGGCTCAGCTGGGGAGGGGACACTGCCCAATTAACACTCCTGCTCCTCATCGGTGGGGCTGGCCTTTAGCTGTTGCATCTTGAGTGGACATTCCAAAATCGGTGTGCGAGAGGGTGCGTGGATTTAGCGAGTGAGTAACGTAGCACGACTCCTCGTCCTACCTGCTGTTCTTCAGGGAAAGTTCATTTTGAAGTCTAGAACCCAGCCCTCACCCACTTGGCTTGAAGGGAGTCATCCCCTCCGGGAAGGGGGGGTGTAAGTGTCTTTTGTCCCGTTCAGTAAAATTTTCAAGACTGGCTCATTAAATAAATAACAATGCCATGAAACGTAGAGGTCACCTGGAGTCAGTGTGTGAACTAGTTCTTTTGGAGAGCTATGCAGCACTGAGAACGTTGCCCTACCACTATCCTGTAATTATGCCCTAATTGGATTCTCCCAGATATAATTGCATACCTTGAAGATGTACCTGCATGTTTTTTTATTTCCGAAGAAATCCACCAGAACTGACCCAACCTTTTTCCTCCCATCTCCAGAGAACACCTGGGTCTGTGATGTGAGAGATGGGGAGATACAGGGCTTGGGGTGGTCCCTGCAGGAGGAGCAGGACACAGTTCCTGGTCCCCCCCCCGTGTCCCCTCTGAGCACAGCAAACAGGGCATCATCTCCTGGGGTTGGCAGAGCCAGAATCGCCCTGTGGCTGCAGCTCTTGGTTTGGGAGCGATGTGTGAGGAGAGGGGCAGCCAGGGGAAGGAGGGAGGGAGGGAGGAAAGGTGGGGAAAGGCTTGTTAATTTTTGCCTTTTTCCTTCGGAGCTCTTGCTAAATGTAGCTGCGCAGAACGGTACGTGGAGCTGGGCTGTAAAGAAAATAACACACTTGAGTGATGTGCCCGATACTGGAGTCGCCTGAACATTTCACTCTGTTCCTAATGACAAATGTCCAATCATTTGATGGAGGATGTAGCACAGAAGGCTGAAACAATAAATGCTTCGGGTTCTTTCAGGGACTGACCACTCCTTGACTTGACTCCACTCTGCACTTGTCTGATCTGCACTGAATTTATACTGAAGTGATTCCTTTCAATTCTTCAAATTTCAAATTTTCAGATTTCAAATTGAAATCTAAGCCGTGACATTCTCAGGTCTGCTCCATGTCACTCCTGTGTTTTGCAGCAACTGGGAATGGCGGTTCAAAATGCTTCAGAACCGTGTTGAAAAGCCGCGGCCCCGAGGGAAGGCAGAACCCTGTGACTCGTGGGCCTGTTCCCCGAGGAGTCCCCAAAACTCTCTGTAACTGAGAGGGGTTCTTTGAGGGCAAGACCTTCCTGGTTGGGGTGTGGGAATGTGACAGTGGAATCCTGATGGCCACCATCTTCTCTGAGCTTGCAGGTCCCTACCTCCCTACTGGTGTTATTCTGTTAGTCCCGGTGGACAACAGGATGCCCATGAGCCAGCAATGTGCCCTTGTGGCCAAGAAGGCCAATGGCAGCTTGGGGGGCATCAGGAAGAGTGTGACCAGCAGGTTGAGAGAGGCCATCCTCCTCCTCTACTCTGCCCTGGTGAGGCCCCATCTGGAGCACTGGGTCCAGTTCAAGAAGGACAGGGAACTGCTGGAGAGGGGACAGCAAAGGTCCACAAAGATGATGAGGAGCCTGGAGCATCTCTCTGATGAGGAAAGGCTGAGGGACTTGGGTCTGTTTAGTCTGGAGAAGAGAAGGCTGAGGGGGGCATCTGATCAACACCTATAAATACTGAAAGGGTGGGTGTCAGGAGGATGGGGCCAGGCTTTTCTCAGTGGTGCCCAGGGACAGGACAAGAGGGAACGGGCACAAACTTGAACATAAGAAGTTCTACCTAAACATGAGGAGGAACTTCTTTCCTGTGAGGGTGGCAGAGCCCTGGCAGAGGCTGCCCAGAGAGGTGGTGGAGTTTCTGTCTCTGGAGACATTCAAACCCACCTGGACACGTTCCTGTGCAACCTGTTGTGGCAGGGGGTTGGACTGGATGATCTCCAGAGGTCCCTTCCAACCCCACATCATTCTGTGACTCCGTGAGGTATTTGTTGACACTGGTTTCCAGTGGTGATGAGGTATTTGTGTGGTGACTTCGCTGAGGTCCTGGTCAGGGACACACACAGAATGTGTTGTGGCTGACGTTACCTGCTGGCCTTGAGTTGTGTCCTTGTCCTCTTTTTCAGAGACCACACACATTCATGCCACGAGTGAACCTTGGAGCCCTTCAGCGTTTTCTAAAGAAATAAAGAAAGATACTAATTAACCTTTTTTTTATTTTTTGTTTACCTTGCTAAGCACCAAATCCAGGTCACAGAGCTTGTTCAGACACTGGTGTGAGAACGTACATGTGTAGATTTATAGAGGAAAGAAAGTGCTGAAGGGTTCTGAGGTTCATTGCTGAAATGAATGAGTGAGGTCTCTGAAAAGGGGGAGGAGGGCACAGGGCTGTTGGAACAGCTACAGACCCTTGGAAATAGGGAGAGGAGCAGGGGACATCGGTGCCTGCACCCTTCTCTCCTCAAGCACCTGCCTCCTGCCCCTGGTCAGAGACGGGACACCAGCCCAGGTGGACCTTTGGAAGGCTGTGGTGGAGATGGGTTTAGGAAGGTGTTGCGGCTTTTTTAACTCTCTGAGTGTAGGGAGTCATTTATTAGAGGTTAAATTTGCACACACGTAGCGTGCGCCTCGCTTTGTGTACGTGGTGGCTTTATGGAAGTGAGCCATTAACTTATTACAGTTAAAGATAATTGCCTTTATAACACTTCAGCAAATTATCTTTTTCTAAAGTCGGACATCAAAATAATTAACATCAAAACCATGGGCTCAAACGGGTTATTGCAAAAGGCAAGAGAAGTGTGATGGCATTTTTAGAGCAAACAGCGTCAGGTCAATGAGAGCACGGTAATTGCTTTGCTGTTGAGGACCATGGTGTCCTGTCCTGCTGGCTCGTCCCTGCCTACAGCACCTAACGCTGCTTTTATCTGCTTTCCAGCAGTGTGTGGAGAAGCTGAAGGCCACGGCGTGTCCCCGGGCAGGAGCAGCGAGGAATGAGCCAGCCCCGGGAGCGGGGACCTGCCACCCCAGCCGGGGACAGCTGAGGAGGGGACACCTCACTCGGGGCATGCTCCAGTAGGATTCCTCAGAAAAAGTAAGCTCTTGTTTTCTTACTGGGCTTTGGTGTGTGGGCTCCTTCACTGGCTGCTCTGCTGCAGCTGGGAGTGGAGCTGGAGTTTGCAAAATTACATACTTAAGAGGTGGTTTTGTGGGAATTTACATTTTCTTCACCAATCCTAGAAAGACTCTTTTCATACAGGTTTTATACATCACCTCTCCCACACTCTGTGTTGATGAAGGCTCTCTGCACTGTGCATCCTGAGCTTACAAATTAAATGTATGTTTTAGTATTAAAAATAAAAAACAAACACAACAGGCTAATAGAGAGGTGGGATCTGGCAAGGCTGTGGACTAGTTCCTTCGTTGATGGCTTTAGGCTGTATTTCTGTTAAAATGCAGTGTTCAGATCCCTTATTTATACCTGAACTGGGGATCTAAATACTTCAGATAAAATTAATTTTAGAGCTTGTCCTTGAGTTTGATTAATTTTTAGCCTCGCTTGTCAGTAATGCCATTTTCCCTGTTGCCATAAAGCAACTTAAGGGAACCCAACCTCCAAAAACCAGAGCTTTGCTGTTTGATAACACTTCTCACATGGAGCCTGTTTGGATTAAACCTGGTTATAAAATGCTACTCTTCAGCTTCAGGAAGACATTGTGCGGTCAGTTTGGTTAGTTCTTGGTACAGTGAAGGTGCCCCCACAGCTATGCCGCCCCACAGCAGCAGCTCTTGTTTTTTTCCCCCTTTCTGAAGGATTCCCTCAATAAAAACCTAAGAGTGTGTCCTGGTACCAGCTTAGAAACGCGCTCTGTGGCCTAGACTTGATACTTAAAAACATAAAGAAGGATTAATTAGGATCTTCCTTTAAAAATAGGAAGTGAGACAGCATCAGTGGATACAAATGGCAGTGGTGCTGGACTCTGAGCCCCGGCAGGAGCAGTTGCACTTCTCTCCTACGAGCTGGAGGCGTCTGGGTAGCACTTGCTTGGAGATGAGGGTTGGTTCCTCCAGCTGCATCCATTCATCTTACACATCCCTCCTGCCTCCGAGTCATGAAAAATCACACAGGAATGTCAAGAGAAGGCATTTACTCCTTTCTCTTCACACCCTGCATTATTGTCCTGGTGTGGTGAGGGGTCACAGAGCCCTCAAAGGAAGGGGTGACCTGTTGAGCACAGTCATTCAACAGGTGAGGGCTTTCACTCTGCTGCTTAGTTTCCTACAAGCTACCTCCTGGGATCACAGTGTGATGTGTCAAAATGCATTGCATTTGTAGTCCCAGATTTGTGTCTTCATCTCCTCCAAAATCTGACTTCTGGTAGGTGGCTGGTATCCCAGTCACTCACCTGCAGGTGCTCTTACTCTCAGACTCGGAAAAGTAGAACCTTGTCAAGTGTGTTCAGGGAGAAGCAGCCTTCTGTAAAACCAGCTTGGGAGTAAAAATCTCTGCTGCTGGGCCTTTTGCCCAGTCGTGTCTCCTTGTGGGAGCCCTTGAAAATTCAGATCCTTTACCCCAGCCACGGTTAGCACAGATCAGTCAACCATGGGTTTCTCTTGGAGCTCTTCTGTTGGGAGATGCTGGTTGGCTTGTATTTGTGGCTAAGCTTTTCTTCCCCCTTTTTCTGATGAGTTTCTGGTTATAAAGCCCTAGTTTTGGTGTAAAATTCTGTTGCACAATGCAGCCTCAGAAGCATGAGGCTCCTGGAGAGCATGAGCCTTGGAAAAAGGCAGCTCCCAGGCGGTGGGGTGTGCGGTGCCTGGCTCTGGAACCCTGATCACAGAACTACTGGGCAGGTTTGTCTTTAATCCCAGGGAAAGAAATTCAGATAGGAAACCAAACCAGAGGTAGATACGATTATGTGCTACTTTAGGAAAAAATATTTGAGCTGTAGAGCTCTTAAGAGAATGATTTGATAAAAAATAGCATTAAAGAGGCATTGGTCTTTGGAGAGGAAATGACAGCGCTAGAAGGGAAGAGCCAGCAGACAGAAACAGGTTTTTGAGTAAATAGCACTTTATACCTTATTGTAAAGGTAAATACAGGTACTAAAGCAGAAGCCTTTTTTATGTTATTTAATCTCAGCGCGTATTCATCAGGTGTTTAAAGCAGGGAGGGCTTTTACAGGCTCAGCAGGTGTTTTCTCTGGAGGCAGCACGGTGCTGGTGCTGTGTGTAACACACACAGGGGGCCCGGGGGGGCTCTGGCACCTCCATCCCTGGGGTTTTGGGGAACCCCAGCTAGACACAGCCAGGTGCTGGTGGACTCCCCAAGGTCCCTGTCAGCCCCTGTGCCAGTTCTCTACAAGCTGTTCCTGGCCACTTGTGCCACAAGGACCCGTTGCACTGAAAGGCTGTTTTGCCCAATATCGCCCCGTGCTGCTGAGTCCCTTGGGGATTTAAGTGGAAAAGGCACCTTTTTAGGCCCTGTCCCCCAGAGCCCATTCTCCCCCTGCATTTGGTAGCTGGTGTTGGGTTTGGCTGCTAATAAATAGGAGCATGAAAGGAGAGTTGCCGTGAAGCGGGCTGTGGAAGATTGCCATGGCAAAAACACAGTCGACGAGGCATTTGCATATTTAGGCTAGAATTTTTCAACTGCTGAAATCCCACGCAGTGCCAAATCCACAGAGTTTTGCGTTCCCTGCTCTCTTACAGTTGCTGCAGAAATGGTTTTTAATGACAGAACTGAGGTATGGCCAGAGGAGGCAGAGGCTCCACTAACCCATGAGCTGGTGGTGGTGTGTCTGCGGTGACACTGCTCCTCCTGCCAGGCTGCCCCCAGCTGGACCGTGTGGTGCTCAGGGAAAAAACCCAGGGTGTCTTTTGAAAAAGCCATTTTGGTTTCTGAATCTGGTTGTTTCTGCAGCCCCGTTGTGATTCTGAGTCCAGTGTGAGGGATGGGGTGTGCTGGTGGTGGGGTTCATCCAGGTGTGTTCTCCACTGGAGACCTCTCTTGGGCCGTGATCAGTTTCTGAATCTGGTTGTTTTCTGCAGCCCTGTTGTGGTTCTGAGCCCAGTGTGAGGGATGGGGTGTGCTGGTGGTGGGGTTCATCCGGGGGTGTTCTCCACTGGAGACCTCTCCTGGGCCGCGATCCCTTCATCAAACATCACCAGTCCTGAAGGAGACACTGGTTTGAGTTAGAATCACAGAAGGTGTGTTCTCCACTGGAGACCTCTCTTGGGCCGTGATCCTTTCATCATACATCACCAGTGCTGGAGGAGACACTGGTTTGAGTTAGAATCACAGAATGGTGAGAGTTGGATGGGACCTTAAAGATCATCCACTGCCACACCCCTGCCCTGGGCAGGGACACCTCCCACCAGACCAGGTTGCTCCAAGCCCCATCCATCCTGGCCTTGAACCCCTCCAGGGATGGGGCAGCCACAGCTTCTCTGGGCAACCTGGGCCAGGCTCTCACCACCCTCATAGTCAGGAATTTCTTCCTAATATCCAATCTAAATCTCCCCTCTTCCACTGCTCTGGGTGTTTGCAGCTGCATCACCTCTTGAGGAGAGAATGGCAGTCACTTTCCATTTCCTGAGGCGGCTCCCAAGTGAGTGGCTGGTGGGAGGTTGTTAATTATCAGCACTTCAGAGAGAGCAGACTGCTCTGGGTGTTTGCGGCTGCATCACCTCTTGAGGAGGGAATGGCAGCCGCTTTCCATTTCCTGAGGCGGCTCCCAAGCGAGTGGCTGGTGGGAGGCTGTTAATTATCAGCACTTCAGAGAGAGCAGAGGAAAGGCCACGCTTGGTTTTCTAACTTGGCATGAAAATGAAACGGAGAAAGATTGGTGATTAGCAAAAGAAATCCTCCCGGTGCTCGGTTTAGTCTGTCAGCTCAGGGAGCAGCATGATAACCTGCCGGCCTCTTTGAGTTGAGCCTCAGAAATGAGGCCTGGCCTTAATTTAAGGTCAGCAGCTCCTTCTGTGGCTGCTGGGGCCAGAGGCCACCCCAGAATTTCACTGAATTTCACTGAATTTTAGAGTTGGAAGGGACCATAGAGATCATCTAGTCCAACTCCCCTGCTGAAGCAGGATTGCCTAGAGCTTGTCAGAGCATGTTACTCAGGAGCATCCAGGCGGGTCTTGAAAATCTCCAAAGAAGGGGACTCCACACCCTCCCTGGGCAGCCTGTTCCAGGGCTCTGTCACCCTCACCGTGAAGAAGTTTCTCCTCATATTTGAGTGGAACCTCTTATGGTCCAACTTGTGCCCGTTGCCCCTCGTCCTCTCACTGGGAACCACTGAAAAGAGTCTGGCTCCCTCCTCCTTCAACCCTCCCTTGAGATACTTGTAGGCGTTGATAAGGTCTCCCCTCAGCCTTCTCTTCTCCAGACTAAAGAGTCCCAGCTCTCTCAGTCTCTCCTCATAAGGGAGATGCTCCAATCCTTGAATCATCTTTGTTGCCCTTCGCTGGACTCTTTCTAGTAGTTCCCTGTCCCTCTTGAACTGGGGAGCCCAGCACTGGACGTGAACTGAACTGCTGTGCCTCTGTCCCCCCGCAGGATGGCCGGCTGTGGGGAAATCGACCACTCCATCAACATGCTGCCCGCCAACCGCAAGGCCAACGAGTCCTGCGCCGCCCCCGCCCCGTCCCTGCCCGTGCCCGAGTGTGCCATCTGCCTCCAGACCTGCGTGCACCCCGTCAGCCTGCCCTGCAAGCACGTCTTCTGCTACCTCTGCGTCAAGGGAGCCTCCTGGCTGGGGAAACGCTGCGCGCTCTGCCGCCAGGAGATCCCCGAGGATTTCCTGGACAAGCCCACCCTGCTCTCTCCCGAGGAACTGAAAGCGGCCAGCAGAGGGAACGGGGAGTACGCCTGGTACTACGAGGGCAGGAACGGGTGGTGGCAGTACGACGAGCGCACCAGCAGGGAGCTGGAAGATGCCTTTTCCAAGGGTAAGAAGAGCACTGAGATGCTCATCGCCGGGTTTTTATACGTAGCTGATCTGGAAAACATGGTTCAGTACCGGAGGAATGAGCACGGACGGCGCAGGAAAATCAAAAGGGACATCATAGATATCCCAAAGAAGGGGGTGGCCGGGCTGAGGCTGGACTGTGAGGCCGTCACCCTGGCCCGGGAGAGCTCGGCCGACGGGGCAGACAGCAGCCCGGCCCCGGGGGCCACCGCCGGCCAGGCCCCGGCCACTGTCCCCGCCAGGCCCCTGCCATCGCCGGGCGCTCAGCTGGGGAGCCCCTCCACGCCCTCCCCCGAGGCCAGCGACTCCCTGGAGAACTCTTTGGCCCACCTACAGATCAATGGAGAGAGCGTGGCCGAGAGGAGCCACCGGGGAGAGGGGGAAGAAGAGCAGGAGTCATCGTCCTCGGGCCGGGCGGCGGCCCCCGACACCTCTCTGGAGGAGACGGAGTGGGACGGCAGCAGCGACGGGGAGGAGGTGGGTGCCCCCCAGCAGCACCCAGCCCCACAGAGACACTGGGAGGCCAGCGCGGGCCAGGCGGGGGCGGACGGCGCGGTGGCCGGGGTGGCCAGGTCCAGGAGGCCGGACGGACAGTGCACGGTCACCGAAGTTTGAATCTAGAGCCATGAGAATAAAAACTCAGCCCTGTTCCTGCAGAGTCTCTGTCTGGGGCCGGGGGAAGGGGAGGGAGGGATTTGGGCTGTTTAACTCCAGTCTCTTCCCCGTCTGGGCTGGAAGACTCTGAGTGCAGGAGCTGGGTTGTCCCGGGCAGGGTTTGGGAGCTGCTCAGCAATACCCAGTTTCCCTGGAAATGTCTCGTGTTTCTTTTTGTAGCATTTTCTCCCCCTCCCCACGTCTGGGCTGGAAGACTCTGGCTGCAGGAGCTGGGTTGTCTGGGCAGGGTTTGGGAGCTGCTCAGCAATACCCAGTTTCCCTGGAAATGTCTCGTGTTTCTTTTTGTAGCATTTTCTCCCCCTCCCCGGGGGCGACTGGCTCCCTTTCTGGCCAATGTATATCTGCTGTACCACCTCCCTGTCCCATCCCGTGTCTCACTCCTTTCTGCATGGACCCGGGGAGGAACAGAACACTAACGAGCGGTGCCGGGGGAGCGGGGGGCTTAATTTAATGTGAGAAACTAGATGTGAGTTTGGAGTTAAAACGTGTTTTTACTAGACAAGAGCAATCATTTCCCTCCCCTCAATGGAAATGTAAAAACGCTGGTAACTTTCGTTGCAAATTCTTACCTTTCCACCCTTCGTGGCGTTTTCACTGGCTTTGCCATCTAGTCCTTGTAGGTTTGTTTTTTGAGGTCTTTCTTGATCTGTCTCGTTTTTGTTACGGAATTTATAATTTAATAAAACTACATTTTATCAGTAACAATCTTAGCTGTGCCTCTGGTGTGACTGAGCCTTGCTGGAGGAACTGGGGAGAAAGCCATCATGAAACGGTTTGAGGGGGGACCGGCTCCCAGCGGGATCTCCCGGACCCACCACCCTCTGAGTCTCTTTCTGCTGGAAAAGCCTGATTTGGAGGGTTAGTGCTCACAGGGGAAGGGCTGATGAATGTGCGTCGCTTATGGTGGGCAGCAGTATCCTAGAGAGGGCTGTTTTAACAGCAGAAATGCTGACACAAGAGGGATGACGTCACCAAAGGTGACCCTGTGAGGAAGAGCGGGGAGGGTAAGGATCATGTGGGTGTTGCTCTGGTCCTCACAGCCAAATGGGCAGCGCAGGGGAGGTGGTGGGGTGCTTGGAGCAGAGCTGCATCTCCTGGGTCAGCCCCGTTTCTGCAAACTGATTTCTGGTGTTAGAGGTGCTCAGGAACCAGCCCTCGAGCAGCATGGCTTGGCTCCTCTGGCTAGGGCACCTGTTTTATTTCATTCTGCTTTTAAATCAGCTGATTCTGGACTCAGCCTTTAAAACAAAGGTAATTACACTCCAGTTCTCAGTCCATTTCCCTGACCAGGAAGGGACAGGGGCTGATGGACAAGTGCTGCCTCTCTCCACCCAGAAGGTGCTGCAGCAAACAACCCTCTGGAGGGAATTAAATGGGCTGGTTTTTAAAGGTGGTAGAATTAAACTCCTAAAATGTTTTCCTTGCTGTAATTAGGGCTGATGTGTCTAATCTTGGGCAAAGCTGTAGCATGGACTTGAGAAGGGAAAGAGGATGGAATGTTTTTTCTTCTGTTCTTCGTTGCCACCTCGAGCAGCATGGCTTGGCTCCTCTGGCTAGGGCACCTGTTTTATTTCATTCTGCTTTTAAATCAGCTGATTCTGGACTCAGCCTTTAAAACAAAGGTAATTACACTCCAGTTCTCAGTCCATTTCCCTGACCAGGAAGGGACAGGGGCTGATGGACAAGTGCTGCCTCTCTCCACCCAGAAGGTGCTGCAGCAAACAACCCTCTGGAGGGAATTAAATGGGCTGGTTTTTAAAGGTGGTAGAATTAAACTCCTAAAATGTTTTCCTTGCTGTAATTAGGGCTGATGTGTCTAATCTTGGGCAAAGCCGTAGCACGGACTTGAGAAGGGACGGAATGTTTTTTCTTCTGTTCTTCGTTGCCCCTGCTGTATCAGAGCCTGCCTTTGTGCTGCAGGGGTCTGGAGTAAGAGCCCCCCTGCCACGGGCACATCCTTTGCTCCAGGTGAGGGCAGGTGCTGTGGCAGAGAGCGAGGAGCTGACTGTCTCCACGCTGCGTTTCGGGGCTCCCAGCCCAGAGAGCCTGCAGGGAATTCTGTGGTGAGGGATCATTCCTGGGCAGAGCCACAGCTCTGGTCAGGGGAGGGCTCTGGGTGCTGCCTGTGGCTCCTTTGCCTGACGGCAGCTGGGAAGTGCTAAAAATGAGTTAAAATAGGGCTGGGGAGAGCTCAACAGCCCAGCAGCAGCGTGGCAAGCACACTGTCCCCATCCACCTGGGCAAAAGCCAAAGTCAGGGGTAATTCCCAGCTGGTGTGAAGGCATCAAAGCACTGCCTTCAGCAGGAGGGGTGGGTGGCAGGACCTTGGAGGGGTCTCTCTCACTCCCTGCATGAAGGGATTTTTAAACTTGTACAGCCTGGCTAGGGGAATGCCCCATGGAGCAGAACAGAAAGGAAAAGGCAAATTAAAATCCTATAAAATCTACTGCATCTCTTTGTCTCCAGGAGAACAGATAACCACAGACACAGGGATCCTGTGGCAACGGGAAAAACCCCTCTGTGACCCCAGCGCTCGGCCAGAACACCCTGCGTCCCCTGGCTGGGAAGTGGGTTCCTGCCAGCAGCAAAGATGAGGAAATACCTAAAATGCTAAAAAAATCACCGCCAGGATCCACCCCTGAAACACCCCCATTACGATACGTATTACATACCTGTATCTCCCCCCGGGCGAGGGACAGGCTGGGTATTGCACAGCGTGACAGGAATAACCGAGCCCCTGGGAGCCCCAGCAGCTCCTGGGGACCAGGAGTGTCCCTTCTGAACACGGGCTTCTAATTTATTTTGTGCATTTAGTGCTTGGGGTGGTTTTTTTAGGCCATTTCTGAAGGGGAACAAAAACTGAGATGAAGCTTCTAGTCTTCAGTAATTGTACAGAGGATACCGGTGTTCCTCAGCTGCTGGTCACAGCATTTGTCACTTGAAGATGGTGTTTTATGAAATAAAGCCTTTAGGTTTGGAGTTGGTAAAAAGGGATTGCATTCATCTCGCTCATGGAGCTCCCAAGGGAGAGCTCCTGGGAATTCTGGGGCTGGTTTTCACCCCAAGGGCTGTGTGTGTTTATAAAACGGGAGAGAAACCAGAAAATGTAGGATTAAGCTGCTCCAGGAATCTGTGCTCAAAGCCAGCACCTGTCCTTACCTTCAGGGTGCCCTCCCCGGGCTGTGTTTGCGATTCCACCAGAGCAGGGACAGAAGGAGCCTCTGGAACCGTTTCCCAAAGCACCTTCCTCAGCCCTCGGGAGTCCCCTGCCCTGTTCCCGGGGAAAGGTGCTGCCGAGGGGAGAGGGAGCTCCTGGACACAAATTAAACCAGAAGGAGGTCCCTCAGACGTACCCATGGGGAGTCACCCCCCGGCAGCACAGCTCCAGTGCAGAACCTGCAAATAAACACCTCCTGCTCTTCTGCATCCTGGGCTGTGTCAGGAACAGCGTGGGAAGTAGGACTCGGGAGGTGATGGTCCCCCTGTGCTGGGCCCTGGGGAGGCCCCACCTCGAGGGCTGTGTCCAGTTTTGGGCCCCTCACCACAAAAAAGACCTTGAGGGGTCTGGAGCACAAGTCTTGTGAGGAGAGGCTGAGGGAGCTGGGGGCGTTCAGCCTGGAGAAAAGGAGGCTGAGGAGAGACCTTCTCGCTCTCTCCAACTCCCTGAAAGGAGGGTGTAGCCAGGGGGGGGTCAGTCTCTTCTCCCAAGGAACAGGTGATGGGACAAGAGGAGATGGCCTCAAATTGCACCAGGGGAGGTTTAGGAGGGAGTTGGGGAAAAAATTCTCCACTGAAAGGGTTGTCAAACATTGGAAAGGGCTGCCCAGGGCAGTGGTGGAGTCCCCACCCCTGGAGGGATTTAAAAGCCTCACTCCTAACGAATTACAGTTCTGTTCTGGGCACAGCCTGTACCTTCACAGCCTCATCTCCCTGATCCCCAGCCAGGTGGGACACTCCGGTGTCTGCCCCAGGCGAGTGACAGGGACGTTAATGCCACCCTCAGTGACCAAGTCCTGAAATGACTCCCTTTAATGGCAGGTTCAGCCACAGCTTTGGCCGCAGAAAGGCCAAGAACTTACACACTGACTGTCACTTATGCTTTGCTCTCCTCGCCAATGCCTCCAGATTGGCAGGGCCACCCCACACCCTTCCAAAAATGTCTTTCTCTGTCCTCAGGGCGGTCTCCAGCGGCAGCTCCCTGCCCGCGGCCACCACCTCCTTCACGGCCCGCACCACGCTGGCCGGGCCCTCCGTGTGCCGGCCCAGCCAGGCGCGGGCCTCTTCCAGCGCTCTGCTTCCATCCGAGGACTCCAAGGTCTCCTCCGAGAGCCCAAGGCGCCGGGCCATCTCAGGGTCCACCCTGGTGGCCCCGCTCAGCAGCCGGAGGGCGGCCCCGTGGCCCACGATGGCCACCAGGCGGGCGGCTCCTCCCCAGCCCGGCACCAGCCCCATGCGCTTATGGACAAACCGCACCTCGCTGCCCGGTGCCATCAACCTGCCAAGGGAGAACAAACACACCCAGGTCACTCTCTGTGTCCCTGTCCCTCTGCAGCTCACCCACACGCTGCCCTCGGGCTTCTCCTGCCCTCAGCTTCCACGGGCTGATACGACCCAACAGTGCAGAGCTGGAGTGTGGAGTCATGGAATGGTTTGGGTTGGAAGGGACCTTAAAGTCCCCCCAGTGCCACCCCCTGCCCTGGGCAGGGACACCTCCCACCAGACCAGGTTGC